TTGACACTAGAGTGTCGTTGTTTGAAGCATTGTCCATGGTCAAACATCCAACACGGCCAACACTTTTGAATTACTACAACATTTGCTATACAACTTTTGTCATTCTAGCCTCGGTGTGATTACTCGTGTCCATAAAAGCCAAAAGTTTTTCATGAAAAGCAGAGTCTGGACCAACAAAATGATTGATTATTGCTAAAAAAGATAAGTGGTTTGGAGATTTCCACATATGCATTGAAATATGTACGACAAAATTTACTTTTGACCAATTACTTTTTAAGTTCAGATTTCATCTTCCCAACTCTTTGTTATATATTGTTCTAAAGTATATACGCTTTTAGAACAATCACATTGTTTTGCTTGCAATTGAATAATATTTTCAAAACGGTTAAGAATGAGTTTGACTTAATGATGGTGAATGTTTTGACATCAGACAATACAAAATACTCAATTGTCTCACGAATAAGATCATTGAGCTTGTTGATATCTTCTTTTCAAGATTTGAAAAATTGTTCATATAGCAAGTTATTGTTCCAATCATTGTACCGTTGTTTCCAAAATATTGTCTTTTACGATGTCTCTTCACATGCTTCATTTGATTTGTTGTGCTTGATCTAGACTTCTTGAATGCATTTTCAAAAAAACATCGCAACTTTGTGTAGTATTTATAGGATAGTTGCACCTTGTCATCTTCGTTCAAACGATTGATGTGTTCATAAATCGCACATCTTGGTTTTCTTATAGCTTTCTTCATCAAAGATGATGAGTTCTCTATATTTGTTGACATCAAACTCTATTGAACAACAACGTGGATGATAAGAATTTTGTCAGGGCTTATATACTCGAAGTTTTGAAAATTTTTTTACATATCTAGAATTTAACCACTTATATCGGTGTCTTCGCTCACTATCATGAAAAAAGAAATTGATGATTTTAGTTTTTTTATTGCTCTAGATGTTGAAAACTTTGATATTCAAATATAATTCTGAGAAATATTTTCTAAATTCACAATAGTGCTATGAGTTATAAACCAGAATAAGAATGTATATCATCATTTAAATACCACCAATTTTTGATACTGATAAGCTCCATTTACAATAATAAAGATAATTTTCTTTCATTAAAATATTTTCAATGAGATCTAAGTAATTAAGAGTAATTAAATTATTTAGAAAAATGCAAAAAAATAGTAAATCAATTTATTTATAGAAAAAATCACTTCTATGTTTGAGGTTCTTAAAATTTTACATAAATATTGAATAAACATGCAAAAAAAATATCAATGTTTAGAAGAATTTTTTTGAAATATAAATAATCATGAATAAAAACACTAACATCTAGAAATAAACAATCAAGTTATAAATTTTTGTTTATGATGTTTTTTTGAAAAATAATGAAATTCATGCAATAAATTTGCATCTTTTTGAATAAATTTTTTTATAGAAATTTTCAGAAATTGAGCCCAAATAATTTAAAGTTATAAAATTTGAAGCTATAAAAAAAATAGATTAGTCTTGAAAGGATCATTTTATTTATAAAATATAGTTAACGTTCAAGTTCACTTCTTCAGTCAATAAAACTCATTCGTTTGGTTCAAAACTTGCATTTTTTTTTTTGAGATTTAAAAAATACATCATATTCTATAGAAGATAAATCCGAGATCACTATTTTGTAAAAAAAAATTCATCTCCCTACGTATAAAAATATAGATTTGAAAAATATACAAATTTCATTACAATTTCAAATATTTTTATATCTTGATTTTTATAGGGTTTATTCCATACTATCTTAAGTATTTTTTATCAATTAATTTTTTTTGAATTTGAGTTTACGAATCATCACACTTTTTTAAGAATCAATTAAAAAATTTATTATTAGAAACTATCCGATAAAATAAATAAATTTTAATTGAACTTAGACGATCAAATATGTGCATTTTAGTGAGCTGAGAAGAAGCTTTGAAGACTCCGTAATATATGAAAGTTTCGTGAACACTTCTAACGTTTCATGAACGCTATTTTTCCTGGCTACGCAGATAAGATTGCGTAAGCAAATGGCACGAGCGTTGGTAGATAGAACAACGGAAAGAAACACAAGGATGTCATGGATATGAGATTTCTGAGTAGTCCGAGGTTACATGTGGCATGATATTTTCCCTTGTGTACAAAAGTACGAGCTCAGAATCTTGATTGTGGTAAACAGTAAACAGTTTCATCACATTAAAATATACTTTAAAAAGTGTGACACTGTTTTAACAATTTTCACGTTAGTAATGATATTTGAATATGTTTTCAGGTCTTTCAACACGTGAAGATGTCACTTTTTGACATCATGAAGATGTCTTTGTGGTTGATGGCGGTGGTCACGATCCTTGGAGTTTCTTACTGGTTTGTTTAAATTGTCAAGGACGCCGTTCATGAACCTTGCCAACGGTTCAACTACTCGCGAGCAATTGTGCTACAAAATACATTAAGCATAAAGCGTGTAGTTTCTTGCACATTCTAATGATGTTTTAATGCTTGAGACACCTAACTGATTGTTAGTCATGTCTCTCAAACATTAAAAGATCATAACTTTACGTGTGGCTTTCATCTCAATAGGCTTGCTCAAAATGAATACCAATTAGCTCAACAATTTTGATAAAAAATAAAGTAAATGTTTGATGTATAAGAATTATCAATTAATACTATGGTAAATCTTTAATTAATATATAAAAAGGTATAAAAGAAACTCTCAAACAACTTTGGAGAGTTCATATGAAAAAAACTTGTTACATCAATAAAAAAGTGATGTTTTTAACATCTTGAAGTGTTGATGTGTGGATGAACTTGAGTGACAAATGGAGAGAATGTGTGAAATGGTGTTTGCAACATGAGTATGAGGAGAAATCTTAATCTTTTAGAATCATGATGAGTTATCCCAAAGCCATTTGAGGTAAACATGAGTGAGAGTGAGCCCGGAGCTTGCAGTACAGATTGCGCAATATGGGAGTATGTAATAATTTTTGGGTTATCACGTTGGATTAAGTACTCTATCTGACCCCACTTTAAAATCAAGTTTTTGGATCTTACCCAAATTCAATCAAAATTTTGATTTAGTATCATATCAACAAAGATGACAACAATATTTTCTATTGTAAGTCATCAATCAACAAAACACCTAAAATTTTGTTATAAATGACTGTCTCTCTATTATGATGAAGCAAGACACATGATAGTAATTGATAAAATGCAGATAATTAATTCAAAAGATGAAGAGTTTTACTCTCATCAATAATACTCTTTAAGATTCTCAAGTTCAATGACATTATCATCAACTATATCGATTTGATTTTAGATCTTAGTGCGAGAAACTTTAATTTAAAAAATCATATAATTTGTTTGATAACTCTTTGCAATGAAATCATCATTCAAAATATTCCAAACATTAGAGTACACTTATTATGTTTATTCATTTTTTTTAGATGCAAAGGTTGTTAATGCAATATGACAATGTTCACATCATATTTTTGGAGACCTTCTAATTATTGTCGTTGTAGATTGACGGTTTTGGTTTCAACGTCTTGCCTAGACCCATGGACTTCAACTTGCCTTTCACTTATGAATCTTAGAGCATAATATCATCATGTCCGTCGTATTTGACTATATTATTACAAACTCAAAAGCCGCCATCTTCTTACACTGAACACTTGAAGTTGTAATTTATATTGTTGTTGAGATTTTTTTAAAAAAATTCACTCATTTATTCTTCTTTTGACTACTGGACACCACAATTTACTTGTTTTGTATCTACAAATGTGATCTTCTTTGTTTCGATTGTTTGTTCAAGCTAATGTAATGGAGGAAAGCGTGAAAAATTATCTTTGTTTTTTATATTTAAAAGTCAAATAGATTGAGCCATAGTTTATATGCATAGAGCAAAGAAAACTAGCCGTTTGACATTGCATCAAGACATCTTCCTCCTTATTCTATCTCGCGTCTTGTCAAGTTTTTGTTGGAACATCTTACCTTCCTCAAGTCATTGTTGACAATATAGATTCACACATGTCCACGATCATTCACTTGCACAAGATACTACATTTCAATTTCTTGTGCCGAGAAATTCTTCCGCACTTAAGATAGAATTAGTCAAAGAAAGTTGGAAATACCCTTGTAAACTAGCATGGATGATAAATGAACTCAAATGTTTAATAACCAAACACATAAGCAATAAGAGATAGTAGATATATGTACTCCGCATAGAGAATACACATGTTCATTGCTCAAACGCAGAACCAATCAGAGATAGGAGATGCAAGTATTAAAATAAGAGCAAGTAAATATTCATTAGATAACACAGTTGGTGCGGCAGTCCATCTGCTCTCATTCCCCCCCACAGGTGCTCTCGTCTGACATTACATTCTAATCGACCAGCAAAGTCTAAATCCGGATCAATCATATTCATACTCACGTATTAGCTAGACGACAAATCCCAACTAGATTGAATGAAGAACAAAATTTTCGAATGTCACATTAAGATATGTGATACACTGTTGTGTGAAAATGCATTGAAATCTTATTTTTTGATACAAAAACAACTTTCGCAATCCACAATGGGCTCAAAGGAAAATATCTACCACCCATCGCTCATGCTGGTTTTATACGGCAACGAACTGAATAAGGAATTTCGGCCATTGGGGAACCGAGTGACCAAGAAAATATCCAAAATTATTAGGTTACATTATTTTTTCAATACTGGTTATTATTTCAGAAGGTCGGATTTTCTCCAGAAGCAACTTTGACGGCAAGAAGCAATCTTGCCCGTTTAGGTAAGTGCTCCCGCTTGACCGGAGTCATCGATCCCCGTTGACGCGCGCTTGGAGCAGAACAGAGCGCAAATGGAGCCCACATGAAGTGAAGTCTTCGGGTCCAGGGCCTCCCGAGCGAGCATTCGAAGTCTGACTCGGAAGCCTGCGAAAATAATGTTGCCCGAGGCCCGATCCTCTAGAAATCTGCTCCATCGTCGCGCAGCACACAAACATGTCATTTGCCAAATTGACGTCCACGATCAGAGCTGAAACTATGATTTATTTATTCGAACTTGCGCAGACGTCAAAGTCTGCCATGAATGATACTGATGCATCTGAATACGGTGCACTGTACGAGGGTTAACTCACGCTACTGTAACGCTGTACAGTGACCGATGCCTCTCTGAACGAAGGAGCTTTCTCGAGTTCTAAGCTGGGAGCGACTTTTTGGCGCCCCGAGCTGCGAATTGCGGTGAGATTTTGCGCCTCGAGCCCGAATAGAACGCCGGCGGATTGGTCGCGAAGCTGATGCGAGGATTCCACTCTCTCAAGGTCCGATCGTTCGGATGAGCTCCTTCGCGCGTGCTTGAGGACGCAGGAGGCCTTGAAGTGCTTTTACTTCGTGGAAAATATGCCGGTCAAATGGTGAGATGATGCCTGTGCATTGTGACATGGTCCTCGTGGATTTTGGAACTGAACAGGACTGCTTCTTGTGCTTCGTGTGGTGTTAGGAACTGGATTTCGAATTCCCATATTTGTGCTGTTGGAAATTTCCTTTCTTCGTTGGTGTGCATGTATCTTCCTCATAGCATTGAGTTAGGGTCCAAAATCCGGTTTCCATATGAGCTCGTGAGCACGCACTCTGCATCCTGTGTCGGAATCTGTTCTTGCTGCGCTAGCAGGCGTGAATTCGCAGTTGGTTTTCCTTGTAGCTCCGGTTAATTCAGAGGTAACATGGACCTCTTTGAGCTTGCAGTTCGGTAAATTGTAGCAAGTATAAGCTGTGTGGGGGCCTGCTTATTGGAGACCACCATTTAGTCCACCTGTTCAGTGCTGCTTGAAGAAATTGGTTTGGCAGTCATTAGCCTGTATTCCGTACTTTACCTTTCACGGATGGGGGCGTGGGTTCAGTCTTTCCATTATATGGCGCAGTTGACCGATGACAGTAGCTTCTTCTGCTGTGTCCAGCTGAGAGGTTTTTCGCATATCCAGATGCTGCCTTTACTTTGAAATGATGTGCATGTCAAAGCAATTACTAAGAATGTCTATGTGTTGGAAAAAATACAAGAAAATGGAGCAGGTCTGCTCTTCTTTTTCTCGACTGCGAGTCTGCAATTTCTTTCTAGTCTACGGCTCATCAGAAACGTGCTTGTGGCACCCCTTGAGTCTACTGAATCAAAGCATTTCATGTTATACAAGGACCTATCATACTTTGGAATGCAACCCATCAAGCACGGAGGATTTTATCTTCCCTACAATCGGTGATTCCTATGAGTCAATAAAATCAGTATAGCCGAGCCATTGACGAGTGGTAAAGAACTAACGAAACGCGGTAGACAGGTCATTTACCCACGTACCAAATCCATCACATAGCCAGCCGTGGTCTTGATTCTTCATCTTGGCTTTGAAATTATATAAGTAAGTGAGCAAAGCCTCCATAACGACTTTTCTGCCAGTTCACTGCTCTGTCTCGATTTCCTGGGACCTTCTGTGCCGGTTATCGTGTTGGTGTATCCTTTTCATGTCTCTGTAATCGTTGAAGGATAGCGTAACTGAAAGATGTTCTTTCATGTTGGTAAGTCTTGAGTTCCAACAAGCGAAAATTTAAACTGTAACCTTTAAACTGATTCAGATTTTTTTGAGCAGGTTTTTGAGGCTGATGAATGTGGACCTTGTTTGCGCGGGTGCCAAATTATGGGCAAATAGATCTCCTGATTTTATTTTATTTATTTACCTTTGGCGCTTATTGATTCATCTAGGCTTTTGTACTGGCAACCGAGTACTGGATCGACAGTGAGTAGCCAGACTCTTGTGGACGTGATGAAGAGCATTGAAAGCATCAATGGTGTGCGAACGGGCAGATGGCAGGTCACTGCTTCTAATCACCGACCGATCCAGAGAGGTAGGTCAGCTCTCTGTTATCCACATGGCTTAATTAGCTTATGGGTCAGAGCTTGTTGTTTAGCTGCGATGAACTTCAAGTGTGTTTTTTCCAAACGAATGAAGTTCGTCTGATCTGTAACGTTATACGGTGCTCAGATCAATCGATGGGACTTCCTCAGGACTGTGCACGCGAGCTCCTCGGTTTGACATTCTCCGAGGTTCCCAGCAAACACTACTTTATTTTGAGGGGTGAACATATGGTGGTGGAAGCTCATGCCAACATGCAGAATATCATGGAGAAGCTGCAGCTTTACCGAAATCGATTGAATATTTTTTTTGAGGTGAGTCAAGCTCTATGTCTCCTCGACTTTCGTTTACTCGGAGTAAGAAGTGATGAAGATTCGTAGCGCCATTTCTGGCTCCTTGATCTCCAAATCAATGTTAGCTCCAGGATTGTTCTTATGTTTTAGGATTCACATATGCTTGAGCCTTCAAGAGATGATAGTTGTGAGACAAACTTGCATACTATGTTTCAAGGACAAAGTCGCTAGATTTGCAAGTCACTAGCATTTTGTACCCGATGCTGTCGAGTCTTAGGATGGGGCAAGTTTGAAGATCATGGGTCACAGTATATAGTTTGTTGTCGCCCATGCTTTCGATAGTTTGTAGTCTTAGTGGGTCTTACCCTGTTTCTAAGCTTACTCATCTCTGCTCTAAAAGGAATATCGTTGATGTCTCCTCAGACAGATCTAGCAGTAATATGCCTTTTCAATAGTGGTTATCAGTCAAAGATATTCACGCTGGTTAGAAGGTTTCCAACTGTAGTTGCTGTTTTTAGCTGGAAGTTTGTCTTCTGAGTCACGGTGAAACTGGGACATGGTATACTGGTTCAGGGTTTTCAGTATCAGCTGGGTGACTTCCAACTAAAGGCGGGCAGAGCTGTCCTCGCTCACAGTGAAAATCTTCGAGGCATTGTTTTGGAGGTAACTAAACATCAACACTTTGGCTTGCATATATCTTTATATAGCTCTAAGGTTAATTTTTTACAGACGTGTATGGCATCTAACTTCCCTTTTCCGCAGGTCGAGTACGTTCCAGTTTCTTCGCTAGAACAAACACGTCTTTTGTTGCAGGAATTCGTAGAGATGTGGCAGGAGGTTGTAACTGCACAGAATATGGCCGGTAGATTTACTCCACTGGAACCTAATTACTCTGACTATAACCTCCCTGATCAATATAGCTGGCAACACACGGCCTTGCAGTATGTCAACCTCATGGTGTACTTCTTGCATGCTCAAAGGAACTAAAACTTACTTTTGATGACAAATTTTGACTCCCATCTCGGGACATGTGTATATATTGAGCTGAAGCTGGTGGTTTTCACATCGGCACGTTTCACCTTCTGGTTTTCATCACTCATCGCATCTTTCACTGCAGAACTGGGTCACTTTGATTGTTGAATAGCATGCCTCACTGATTTCACTTTTTGGATGAAATGTTAGAACATATATACTTTTGAACTCTAAAAGTCATGTTTCTTTGTTTTTTAATACCTTCAAACTTTTTATAACTTGATTCAATATTTTGTGAATTAAAATTTATGCACACATTTTATTATCAAAATATCACAGCTTGTTCCAAAATCATCATCACTTTCAATGTATGCAATTTTTTGATAGATTGATTTATGAAAAAACATAATACGACACATGGATCAATAGATATCTAATTTAACTTTCCCAATCAACGCACTATCAATACATATGTATGTTAACTGTCATATTTTCTTCATATATATATCATAATGTCATTGAGATTTGTTCAATCAATTACTATAATTTCTGATTTTATCCATCTGCATCCTAAATTACTCATTCCGGTTTCTGTTGATACACGAAATTCGAAACCCCTAGGTCAAAAGTGATTATCAGTCTTGTCTAATGCCACCAATAACTTGTGATCAATAAAGAAAATTGAACATTTGAAAAAATTTGATACAATTAAACCTCATTGGTTAAACTATTCCCTTCATGATACTATTATTTTGTTTTACAGTTGAAAAACTTGTATTTGATACTATGAACTACTGATATTAATCACGGTGGATGAACATTAATATCAATATATATATATATATATATATAATATGTAAAACTTTTCTTGGTGCTTAACATCTCTTGTAATATTGTCAAAGCATATCTTGATGTAGCTTTGTGAATAATGAAAAATAATAGCAGATATATCTCACAAATAAAATCATGCAAGCACCATTGACGTTCATACATTGCACACGAGGATTGCTAAATAATTAGATTGGAAAGCTATTTATATTTTTCTTCGAATGAACACGCAAAAAAAGACTGAATGAGCAAACCTGATCGCCATTGCTGAACTGAGCAAGTCATAATAGTTTTCAGATAATTCTGGTGAATTGTAGCAGATCGAATAATCGGAGAAGAGGTTAACTTTTACTTTACGAACATCGCCGAAATCTACTAGTGCCCAAGTGCTGCCGATAAATACACATCGGATTAGAAGAGTCCAACGAAGTGGAAGTGGTTAAAATCGATCAGAAGAGTAAGAAAAGAAGGAGGTCAGACAGAAAGACAGAAGGAAGGAAGGAACCACAGCGTTGAACGGTACGCGGTGGCAGATGGTTGACCCCGTACACGAACAGACCAGACCACAGTAGAGTAGAGTACCATACGTGGTAACGCATCGTTCGAAGTCGCCCTCACTCTGTTCCTCGCGGGCGTGGTAATAGAGTTCTAACTACCAAAACCACCGCGTCTTCTTTCCTTCCACCGTCTCTCCATCCATCCATCTATCCATCCATCGCTCCTTCCTTCCCGACCTGCGATCCATCCATCGATTCGCCCCGTCTCGTCCGATCGCATCGACGTTCAGAGCCCAGAGATCGACGTTCTCATGCCTCGGGGTCGCGTGAGTATTGGAATTCCGGGCCTTTGGAATTACGAGCACGACCACGAGGCCTCTGATTCGAATGGAAGGAGTGATTCTCGTGCTCGTAGATTGTGAATTGGTCGCTCGCTCCACCGGGAGCAGGAGCAGGAGCAGAGGCGGGGGCAGGACGGGAGGTCGGTTGTGGGGGTTTTGATGGGAGAGAGAGAAAGCGGTGCAGGTTTCCATCGTTCGGGCTCGGAGTTGGAGTCGGCGGTCGACGTCGGGAAGTTCGGGCCTTGACGGCCTTGGGATTTGTTTCACAGTCTGTCTGTATGTGAGCTGATTTGTGTCGCCTCTGTGGATCGCCGGAGTCGAGAGATCGAGGGCCCTTCTGGAATCGACGTCTGGATTAGTCTGGATTGGAGGAAGGACGGCGGGCTTACAGTTGGAACGGAATTGGCGTGCCGATGGGGAGAGTTATGAACTTGATGTGTGCGAGCGGTTTCGAGGATGCAACAGCTCGTGTGGGGTTCGCTTGAGGTGCACACTCTGCCACTTCGGCTGCCGAGGTTGAGGTTGGTCTATCGAGGCGAAATTGGGAAGATGTCTGAATTGCGCGTCGTGAATTCTCAAGTTTCGACATGGTGATTCAGCGGATCGAGGACACTCGGAGTCACCTTCTTAACGATTTTGTCTCAGCGTAAGAAGGCGACGGCAGAAGCCCAGAAATCTCCCCTCAATTCCAGAAGATCAAAAGTCGGAGAAATCAGCCCCAGCAGCTGATCGCCGAAGACGCAAGCGCCTGCGTGCTGGGCTGGGCCAGAATAAAAAAACACACGCTCTGCCTCCCTGATGTGGAAAGTCGAGAGAGGGCAAGCTACAACTGCAGTCCTGCGTTCGGTGAGAGAGATTCTCTGAACAGGTGGTGGGACAGATCAGTCCATTGGCTGCACCTGGGCAAGTTCGCTATCCTCGTAGGGTTTGAGATGGCGGAATGAGCGTTGGACTAAAAGAATGTCTCGTATAGATTCAGCTGCAAGTATGTTCTTGCGGTCTGGGGGTACTCTTCCAACACCCGCAGTGGATGCAGGAAAGTCATCTCCATGGGGTCATTCTGTGGTGCACTGCCCCGGCTGCGACTTTGCCGTCTCGGAACAGCACAATGTGCCCAATGCGCCCAGCGTGACAAACTGCTCAGACTCATGGCATGGAGACGGGAGAGAGTGGAGCTTGCGAGAGAACCCTCATCTCAAGCAACCGTTTTTCCGGACCAGTGACGGTCCTCATCCATCGTCCTCGTTCCTGATGTCTCTCAACCCTCAAGCCTCGAGCATCGGGGCAACTCGAATGCACTCTCTGGCGGATTGTGGGATCAAAGCGTTGCAGTTTCTGGGATCCATTTCCGGAAGTTTGGAAGGGAGAATGGGCTCTGGTCAAAAAGGTGTGGATATGGATAAGACTCGGTCTCAGTATACGCAGGAGCTGATAAGAGCGTTGCAGATTGGTGGCAGCCGGACGAAGATGGAAGCCGCAATTGCAGTAAGGTCCCTGGCTGCTTCTCATAACTTCCATCAAGTTGCATTGATCGCTGCCGGAGGTCTTCGACCTCTTGTCGAACTTCTCAGCTATGAAGCAGGGGAGACCCATTGGCCTCCCGAAATGAGAGAAAAGGCCACCATTACCGTCAGGGCTGAGGCGGCATTGGCTCTTGCTAGCCTCTCAGTCAGCAATGATGAGAATAAGGAAGCAATCGGTTCAGCTGGAGCCATACCTCTGCTGTGTGACTTGATTCAGTAAGAACCTTCTTCTTTCTACTCTTTCGGGAACCTGCGTTGTTCTTGCCCAAACTATGGGAACCTGCTGTTCTACCATCCCAGTCATTGGTGCATATGTCCTCGTCCAATATGTTAGGAGGTGCCTCTTGTCCCATGCCTCAGTGTAGTTCCTCTTCGGAAGTATGGGAGAATCTCTAAAGTCGTCTCTCCTAGTAACAGATGGGTCAAGTTACAACCTTCTTTTCTTTATTGTAAATGTTTTTAAGCTTTTAGTCTAAGAGCCACACTGGTTGAAACCGTTCGTATAGCTGTCATTTTATTTTCCATGGAGAAGAACAATCGATATAGTACTCAAATGGTTGCAGCTGATGAGATCCAAGAGTCATTGACAGTCATAGAATCTCATTTCACACAAGCTGCTGGAGTTCATTGCTCTCATTACGTGATTCATTTTATTCTGTTAAGGTTCGATGAGGACAATGACAATCCAGCCATGACAAGCTATCAAAAGCAGGAAATGGCTCCTTTTCTGATTCTGGCTAGAGATGCCGGTGCTGGCGCTCTGTCTTGTCTCGCAAAAAATGAGGCAAATAAAGATGCTATGATCGCAGCCAGTGCTGTTCCAGTTCTTGTACGGATGGTTTACCAAGGGACGAGCTTTGGCAGGTACGAAGCTTCTGTACATCCATTGAGTGTTAGATATATCTCACCTCATTCTGATTCTCTTATTGTGAGGCTTTGAGGTCTTGAAGTTCGTTTCTCTCTTTACTTCCTTCTCATCGCAGATTCGCAGTTCTATGTTCAGCTGATTACACTTATGGGTCTTCACATGGTACTTTGTCTGTCGAGGCACAGTTTACAAAGTCTCTGCCCTTTGAAAGACTGTCTAGGGAGAGAAATGGAGAATGTAGGTTGGAGTTGTTTCATATGGCATGCGTTTCACTCTCACGTATATTTGAGAAATCGTACTCTACTTGTTCTATTACTGTTCAATATTGAAGTTCCTACATACCGATGTAGGCAGGAGAGGAGACTGCTTGCGGGAGACAAATGAAGATCCAGATCGAATCTCCACGGAATCGATCTAGATCTCTGTTTGCCTCCCACAATTAGTGTTTACTATTCCAACTTTGTGTCATTTCTAGGATTGGACTGCTCGGGGAAAATAAGAAGGGCAGTGTTTGACACTTGGTTAAGACTCAATTTGCGCTGCTGAAGCTTTCAGACCAGTAATGTTTTCACAATCGATCTAGGCCTTTGAGCAACCACTGGCTGCTGAAGGGCTTCAATTGGACATTTCAATAGCAGTTACAATAATGTGACATTCCATTTTTAAATCTCCACGTCGTAGCCTGTAAGTGATAGAGGTGAGACACCAAATTCTGTGACACAAATGGTCTTGATCGATGTCTTTGGAAAGTCCGTCTACGGCTTTATTTGCCTCCCGTGGGCAATCTTCCGAGTGTTTTTTAAGTGGTCATTCAAAGTAAATCAAGTGATTTCTCTCACTCAACAACGAGTGGCTACGTGGCTATGAAAGATATATAAAATTGAAGGAGAAGATCTAGAAGCTTCGGACATTTAAGCGTTCACGTCGAGGTCAAGAATTGCTTTCGTATTTTCCACTCTTCCATGGACTCGATGACCTCCTGCAGAGCAGCTGCGGCGAATGTTCTTGCCAAGCTGGCCACTGGAGAGAATGTACGGAACAAGGTCATTGTTGGAAAAGAGGGTGCTATACCAGCTTTGTTGAAGCTTATCAAGCAAGGATCACCGAAAGCTCGGGAAACTGCTGTAGAAGCTCTTGCAAACCTGGCACTGAACGACTGGAATAAGTCGAAGATCATCAAGGAAGGGGGTATCGACTGCCTCTTGAAGATGATGGAATCATGTTCACAAGCAGAGAAAGATGGTGCAACTGCAGCACTGAAAGTCCTCCAGTCACCGATGGGATCAGTTCCTAAGGCACAGGTTTTGACTGATCAAAAGAATTGGTCTATAGCTGACAACAGGCAAGACCTTTCAAGGAAGAAACCATTGAGACGTGAAACTGACTCGAGTACCTGTCCTCAGCAGAAGAAATATATCAGAGATGCCTCAGGCGAAGCTCGATACAGCAGAGAAGTATCAGCTTCCCAGCGTCAAGGAATCATGTCCATGTTGAACACAAACTTGAGTGACCTCAGTTCTCCCTTAGCGACGATACAAACCGTTTTCACGTCGGAATTAACCTCGTCACTTGCCCCACCTCTAGTCGGCCAACCTTCTATTCAAGCAGATTCTGTTGTAGGTTATTCCAAAGGGACATCCTATATGACGCAGGGCAGGAAAAGGATGAAATTATCTCATCCAGCTTACAACATTCGTGGCCCTCAATGTATGAAGGTGCCACGAGCAGCGGATGAGGCTGCCGGAGCCGGCACCCAGGTACTTTATCAAGGAGATCTCTTACCGGGCGCACATAGTGAGGACAGACGATTTAGTTTTCAGCCTGGTTGGGGTAGAGTTGGACCAAGTTCATACCAGGCCCAAGGATTTCAGACTGCTGGTTGTACCCACGGGGAGACAGCAGAACCAAGAGAGAGAGTAAGACAAGCTGCGGAAGGTGGTGACATCCAACCTATTTCTGGCGGCATAGCTGCAATAGTAAATGCACTTTCCTCTCAGAATCCAGGTGCGCAAGAGTTTTCAGCTTTGGCTCTGATGCTTCTAGCCTCTCAAGGTGGCCATGAAGTCAAAACGGCAATAGCTGATGCAGGTGCTCTATCACCTTTAGTCTCAATGGTGAGCTCTTCTGCTTCTCCCATGATTCGTGAGTCTGCTGCAGCTGCCATAGCAAAGCTAGTGTCATGTCATCCGGTAAACCGAGTGGCACTCGTACGTGCCGGTGGTATAAGAGCTTTGGTTGAGATGGCCAAGTGGTCAGCGAGGCCGATGGATGGGCTGAGTGGAGGAGGTTCAATGGGAGCAAGAACTCTAGCTGCCTCAATAGTGGCTATTTTGAGTGTATCAGAGGTACTAGACAGGCCAACCATGCAGCTGGGTTTGAGGGAAGCATTGCCAGCCCTTGCGCACTTACTGGAAAGTGATGATATTGAGGAGATAAAAGCTGGAATTGGTGGCCTTCAGGCTATAGCTTCGTCTCTGGGTGTTGTAGTGGCAGATCCGGCCGTACCGGAAAGGGATGTGCAGAACGAGGTCATTCAAACTCGTCAGAGTGAAAGTATACCCATAGAGTTGGTTACGTCTTTACTGGACCTCATGCGGGGCAGTAATTATGAAGCAAAGGAAGGTGCTATTGAGTCCTTGGGCAGCTTCAGGAAAGCCAAGAGTTCTCCAGGTTTTGTGGTGGACGTAAGGAAACCTGGAGATAAAGATGAGATTATTGCTCTCAGGAAAGAGGGTGTGGAAATCCTTCTATTGCTCCTTGCAAGAGGTCCGACTACAGCTGGTGTCCGGGAGATTATTGCCGGAACATTTGCATGCGTTGTTACAAGCGAAAGGCTACACAACCATCTGCTGGAGTCTTCTGTAATTCCTCATCTTATGAGGTGAGTGAAAGGTTTTACGTTTATATTTGCGTTCAAATGTTTCACCGCTTCCACTTGAGTGGAAGGATAGCTCGTGTTATTAAGTCACATGATTAGATGGTAATTGTCTTCTTGTGAGTAGTAGGACATCCTTGCCCATGAATCTGACCATTGACATGTTGGTAGCAGGCTTCTTCAGGAGGGTCCTACTATAGCAACAACAATCTTGGCAGCCTCTGCTATGGCAAATTTTGGGGCAAAGAAAAAATGTCTGGAGACTATCTCAGTCGAGGACATGCCGCTACTTCTTCGACTTTTGACCAATGATTTTGAAGGTTTGGATGGGTCTAGAACTCATGGAACAGGATCCCAGTGTCCTTTATCACGTGGAGACAGCCAGTTGCAAAACAGTAATTACTGTTCGAATACAAACTGCTCACCTTCGTTGCTGCTTCGAGAACATGCGGCGGCCATTTTGGTGTACACTGCTCTGTCGGGAGAGGTAAAGAAGCAGTCTCTCATAGCAGCTGGAGCTGCTCCTATATTTGTTCAACTTCTGCAGAACTGCGTGGCAGCTGCCGAGATGTGTATGCTCTCTTCCATTGGGCATGCTGGCTTCTTGCAGTCAGTGACAAACACGAGGCAGCTCAATAGTCTCTTGCCTCAAGCTACAGAAGAGTTTGCTATCATGGGCCTCATTCTCCTGGCAGACAAGAGCGTTGAAACAATGTTAAAGATAGTCGAAGCTGGTGGGATTCCAACTCTTGTGAAGCTTTTGTCCATGACTGGTGGTCGCGGGAGACTGGGAGCAAGCTGGAGTGAGGTAAGAAAATATAGTCTGATTTTGCAGGCTTGTCAGTGGGATTATTTTTTACGACACGGTCTGTTGTCTTTCATCTTCTGAAGGTGTTCAGCTGATAATTGCAGATGGCCGCAGCAGCCCTTCTGACCTTGGCCGGATGTGAAACTGCAAGAGAAGAGATTATCCGCATTGGAGGAATTACGTCTTTGGTTCAAGTCCTGAAAGGTGAGGGTGGAGCATCAACGTTTTCCTTGACAGGCCTCGCGGCTATGGCACAGCTTCTAGGGGTATTGGCTCAAAACAGTTCAGAAGCTAAGCTTCAGATGGCCAAAGTCGGGGCTGTGAGGTGCTTGGTTGAGATCCTAGTAGGAGGAGGTTATCGCGCGTGGGCTGGAGATGGGGATGGCTGCTTGAGGGAAGGTCCTGGCTTAGTTGCTCTCGCACAGGAAGCAGCAGCCGCAGCTCTGGCTACTGTTGTGCTCCATTGTCCAGGCAATGCAGAAGCAGCCGTCGAAGCAGGAGCAATTGGACCTCTGGTGAGACTTCTAGGGACTTCGTCTGCAAGATGTCCACCAGGGGCACCGGCAGAAGCGCAACCTGTTGTAGAGACAGAAAGCGGCGCAAGCTCCGCTGAAACTGGAGTTACTATAGATGGCTCTGCCGGTAAAGGACTCTTAAGCACCAGGAACTCAAGCAGCATAGTTTCAGAAGAAGACAATGAAGATGTGAATGCGGGTGGACCACTTGCAGCGATGGCCGCCCTTGGAAATATGGTATCTTGCTATCCGCAGTGTGGACGGGAGATTGTGGATGCTGGAGGCTTGACAAGATTGCTGAATTTGCTGCAAGTCAAGCCAGTTTCTCATCTCAAGGAGACGCATTTGAACAGAGATGTCGCCTCTATACACAACACCTATTCAAAGGTGCAGGAAGGGGCTGCATTGGTTCTTGGGTTGCTTGCAGAAGGAGATGCAGACGTGCAGGAAGCAATAGGTTGTGCTAGTGTGATTCCAACCTTGGTGGACTTTTCTACAGTCTCTAAGTACAATCTCTCCACTGCAAGTACGTATAATGTGCACACATCTGCGCAATTACCTCCTCTCGCAAAAGCTATATTCTTACGTTTAAATCATCAGTCTACTTTATAAGCACTTGTAAACAAAGGTCCAAGGGCCTAAATGGCTGGCCTCGCGTTCAGTCCAGTCGTTCTTTAGTGATTGCATCGACACCTTGGGAAGGAGAGAATGGTGGCAACACAGGCGAATGATCACAATCGAAGAACTGTTGTGTTACGGAGAGATTTCGAATCCTAGTTTCATACTCTCGGGTTTCGGTAAGCGGAATGGTCATGTGCATTCAGGATGTAGCTTATCCCAAATGTGCTACTCTACTCTATTATTATATTGTTCTGTGTGCCATATCGACTCACGAAGCAGCAGGGTTTACGTTTTAAGGATGCAATCTCGGGGTGCACTCAAAGCCCAGCAATATTACTCCTCTAAAATTCAGTGTGCTCTCCACTTGCCTATTTGCAGTGTTTCTTCTTGCATGTTTGCCAACCGCTACGATGACCTTGGAAGTCATATGTTTACCACCCGTTTAACCTTTTATCAAGGGAGTTTTACCTTCGATTTTGCACTACATCTCAGTCCAAAAGCTCTGAATTCACTCCTGCAGCTACTAACTTCAAAACATAGATAACTCTACGGTGCGTGGCCGCCTTTCTTGCTGTTTACTAGATTTACTTCTGAACTCTCGCTAATGAAAAATTATGAAGTATAGAAACTTTCTTCAGACGGGGAAATATCTCTTTCCTTCAGCACTGGTTCTTAATGATGGGAGTGCAAGCAAATCTGAAGCACAGCATACTGCCATGGCCTGACATATACTTGAACGAAGGAAGGTGGTTTTGTCTGACAGGTAACACAGGGCAATCTGAAAATATGAACGAGTCGAATAATCAGGAAACGAAAGAAGATGGTCTCCCATGCCCGGTACCTACCCCTTTCCGCCACTAATGGACTTTCATCTCTCTTCACAACACAAATGTCCTATGACAGTAATAGAACATCTCGTTTACGCTAATGTGGTAATAGTAGCATACTGCTTTTGCATATTTTGCATTGTCAGCTTTCGCTCTAAAAGGTATGTAGATAATGTCCATCTGGATATCATCAGTCTCAAAGAAGCTCGTCTGAGGTTCTTGAACGTATCTTTACCAAACCAGGAGCTTCAGAGGACGGAGATTGTTAGGTGATTGGTGCATATCAATAAGAAAAATTGAATGGCCTGAAGGAGGTCTCCTCTACACCAGTGTCAAGACATGCAACGGTCCCGGATGGGCCGAAAATGGTCAGGGTGTCCACTGCTAAGATGCTCTGTAACGTTGTTGGGCGAGATTCGTCAATGTTCAAGTGATAATTTATACTTCGGCAGTAAAAGTGCAAAAGAAGTGCGTGATGATTTATAACGCTAACAATTTGGCCTCCGGCCAAAGATGAAGTGATAACGAAATGTCACCGAGCGGAGAGAAAGTTCAACTGCATTATGAGGAGAGAAATAAACAGACCTGGCTTTTACTTATCGGTATCGTTTCACGTGTGCTGACAACCATGTATCCTACTATTACAAGAATTATTGCTGTGGACGAGATCCTGCGAATCTTCAAGCATGATGCTAAAAGCTTAAACAAATCTCCTGGTCGTGTTTCTTTTCCTCTGCTGTTGGATAGACGAGCCTACACATGCGATTCTCGAGCACTGTCCAGTGAGCTGTCAGCTTGGGCCAGAATGTGGACCTACGGAGTCGAGTGTTCATAAACAAAGCCAAGCGTAGTCTCGAGAATTCATGTCGAGTTTGCATATGTCGAAAGCGACATAACACATTGGCGGTGATTTTCTTTTGTACTGTCACGAGTCTGGCAGTCGGTCTTGATCACGTGGGATGCAAGTCAAAACTCCTCTTGTGCTGTGATATCGAGTCAAGTTCAACTCCATTGAACTGGACTCGTGGGTTCTATGGGCATATTTCAGCAAAATTCCGTCCGGCCTTAAGCTTAATCTGCATACAATGCACCGCAATGAGTTCGAGATATCGCTCACGTGCTTCATCTTTGTTGGTCTGAGCCCTTCATGGGCCTAACCTCAAGGTCAATCGACCTTACAAAATACTGTTCAATGCCACCGAATGAACTCACGAAAGGCTAATGCTTACTCAATAATTCATGCTGCACTTGTCCATGTATCGGAATGTCACCAGCACCACCAGCAAAATTGGCGATCATGCTCTTGAAATGTCAAAAAGTCCCCAGAAGGAAAAGGCCATTCTACACAATCAAAGGTTTCAATATCACACGGAGATCTCACACCCGAACGTTCACGAGTGACGCACCACTCTGCTTTCACGGTCTCAACGCTTGGTGTGAATGGCACGATATGATGTCTGTCTAAAGTCTGTTTGCAAGTTCCGACGAGGAGGATATCTGACACTCGTGCTGAGGCCAGCAAAACCATTACGGACATCGACATAAATGCGCTGGTCAGATCTCAAGCGATATCCATCGCTTGACCTGGTTAACTGGTTCGTAGGCTTCAGTTCCTTAAGGTGCCAAACTCGTTGGAAAGTACAAGGCTTTGTCATGTAGTAATTGAAGTGGAGGTGACTGATTTAGTTGTCATGTTGTACGCGAAAGGGCATCACTTGGGGTCCATATTACTGTAGTGAATTTTTGGGGAGAAGGCTTTGAAGTAATGAGATTGGCCCACGTTCTCGCAGAACAAAAGCCCTCAATTCCATGCGCACTGCGCAGAAGGAAGGTACTGAGAGGACGAGACGAGGCGTCTAACTTGTATTTCGTGATGTTGACGAAAGCCGAGACAGTAGTGGGATAAGAATGTTCTGTGGCTGGAGGACAGAAATGGTGAGGCTCGCTCAGACTGATATGCTCTTCACTGTACTGTACCCACCAGAGCTGGCAGGCAGGATGCGATTTGGAGCATTTCACTAAAGGCTACTTCCAATCATGCGGAAGTTAAAAGATTGTAAAATTTATGGAGGATCCGCTGAGCTTATGAGAAGCTCTTCCTATCATGACTTTATAGAGCAGTACATGCACAAACTCAAATTGTAAACAAACTCAGGTCTATCTTTTCCATTCCGGAAGGGTGGAAAAGATAGACCAGATAGACCAGGGGAAGAAGGAAAACATGTCGCCATGAGCAACACATCAATTCTACTGCTGCTGCGGCGAGAGAATGGGAAACGATTTAAACAGAAAATGAAAGAGAGAACTGGTCTGAGAAGGATCTGTCACACAGTGCTAAAATGTTGCATGCACGCATAAAAGTTGGGGATAGGTACCACGCGTGCAGCGGATTTTTTGTTGATCTCATCTCATCAATTCCCAGACGAGTCGCTTGCAGAAAATATCAGGCTGTTCATGTAATCACGTGCTGGAAAAGAGTCGCTCCTCGCAAGCCCAACTTCATCCCTCTCAGCTATCTTGCCCTCTCGATGAAACCTTCACTCTTACTCCGGTTCCTTCATGATCCGGCCCACCCCATCAAGCGCCTAACTTTCAGACATTTCGTCCGGAATCAACTAAACCGCTCTTAACACATTCTCATAATCCTTTCTCCAGATTCATCCCATGCTGGCCTGGCCTGGCCTGGCCCCACCCATAACGAACATAAGCGGGAAAAGATGAGGCTGATACGGTATACGGTAGAATGCACACGCATGCGTGACATATGATGTCGCTTAGGGATGCGAGGTCTCGTACTGCTGATCTCGTTCTCGCATCAGCTGGGCCCCACAGATTTGCCCAGCTCCAGAATTTCTGTGCCCAAAGTCGGCGTCTAGCGTGACTCGACTCCCTAATCCTCCATCGCAGTGCTTGGCCTCGCGTGGCGCACAGTTGGGGCAAATCGCAACCAAATGTCATCCTTGCTTCAGTTTTGTTCTCGTCTTTACTACACAAGGCTTCGATGCACCACTGTGCTGCTTGTGAAATATTCTCACGACACGGTCAAGCAGCGATTTCCAAAGACCTTGTCCGATGGACAATCCTTGGCCTGCCTCCGTCCCTTCCTTGATTGCTGCCTCCCTTAACCACCTGCAATCTCGTCTCACCATGTCATGCCTAAGAATACCCCAGCCCACAATCCAACCCATGGCAATGTTATCCCCGTCACCGGCCACGCCTTGATCCCGGCAGCCCAACACTTTTCTTGTCCATGGGATGGGCTAGGATGCGTCATGTGTGGGGCATCCAGCAGCGGCCCATCGGCTGATTGGTCGGTCGGTCAGTTGGAAGACTTCAAATTCCACTTCAGTGTGGAACTCACACAAGGTAATCGAACATGTGCGCAAGTGTGTGCGTCCCGGTCCCTTCGCGCTTCTCCCGTCCCGTCCACTGCACCTTCCTGCATTCCTCCTTCGAGGGAAATCACAGAGAACGATGAAATCTACAACAACGGCATAAAGTGCATGTCCTAACAATCCTAGAATGGATCTTTATGCTCAAGGCGAGTGGCATGATTTCCCCTCCTCCTTATCCCTCTTCTTCGTCCTCTCGTGTCAACCCTGAGACTCAGACCATGTCAGCGCTTTGAAAAACTTGGAAATAAACAATATTGCTTTTGTCTCTCCGATTCCTACCAAATGCCACTGTCACACTGGGGCATGTGCTTTGAGCACGAAAAACGCGGGTGCTCACTGGACTCTTATTTCTTCATGGATGTGTACCGAGTGATAGAGCCCAAAGAGTGGGAGGGAGGATCCATGAAACCAAAGAAGTTGCAATGGATGGACGGTGTCGAAGGTCATGGCATTGCATGGCATGGTGGAGATGCGGACATGGCCTTCTCTCGTACCATGTTGTTGTCCTATGCTGCTATAGAGGCCGGTAGATATTTATTAGCCTGCCAAGTAAACTACTGGTCATGCTCAGAAGGTAGTGATGTGATAAATGGGTGTGCCCGAGCTCCGCTCCAGGAGAGTTAGTAATCGGGGCTTGATGAGCTTTTGTTTGAGACAACAGTTGAGGGAGAAGCTGTCGACTGCCACGGTCGAGGAAAATGGTGCACATTTATTTTGACGAGTCCTAAACACATGATGCGGCGAAGCAGCTGTGCGTGCATGAAGCTCCGTCTTCTTCTCCATGGCCAAAACTTTACGTTTGGCCTTGACTGGAGGAAGATCTATCTACTCTTCAACCCACCACTCGTTCAGCTTGCACTTCATGCCAGTCATACTTCAACCTCTACTTCTTCATCTTCCGACAAAATCTCGGAGAGACGAGTCGGACTTCACATAGCAGACGGACACCGTCTTCCAGGTATTGCGTGATTCCATCACTGCAGAGAGTGCCAGACTCTTTGACTGCATCGCATGGAACATTCTGTATTGTACACACTGTGTTGTCTTTCTCTCTCCCTCATTCTCCCCTCCCTCGTTCTTTGTCAAAGCAGCGGTTTCAAGGACGCTCAGCTACCAGAGCACAACATGTCAAGCCAGGCCAACAAACGCTTGGAAGCTCGCAGAAGGCATCTTCTCTACATACTATGAAGGCTACCTCATCTGCCTACGTTGCTGGAAAGCAAGACTCCAAATGACTTAAAAACCAATCGAACAGTAGCAGGAACCCATGTGCTGCGCATCGATGGTCACATTAGCTGGAACATTCCAGATTCTTCAAGCAAATAAAAAAATACTCTCATCGCTACACCTAGTATTATTGTAGCCCATTTGACCTAGATTAGTTGGAATACATATTTTCCATCGTTGCGTTTTACCCATGCATGCACGCATTCCTTGATGGGTCTTCCCATCCCTTTTCCTATATTATTTGGTTCTCAATTGGAAAATATCATCGAACGGATCTATACACGTACCTTTGATCTATCTATCCACACCATCATCCTTCTGCGTCTCGTTCAAGTTACATCGTTTACCCTCGGTAGTGGCCTTGTTGTCGTGTCATGTGATCCTAGAGGAAAATGGATATGACATGTGCGGAAGACAAGACAGGCCATTGCTTTTCTCCTCCTCATCTTATGAATCGTTCAGATTTCCCCCTCCTTCAAAGGAAGAGTCAATGTGGAAAACGGATCCATGGCTTTTCTGTGAACAGTGAAACGCACACAGATAATGTGCACAATTCGGACTTGATCTCATTCTCACGACGCTCGTGTCAAAGAATCATTGTTATCGTGGAATTCCTGCCTTTTTCTGAGCATGGAATATATTTCGTCTTCTCAATTCCCACACCGTTAAACGAAAGTAGACGCCTATGATGAGTCAACCTTGCCCAGTCCAATAACACTCACATTTCTTGCTTTTCTGCCGCTTCTCTTCCTGGGATGCCTTGCTTACTGGATATCCCAAAATCTCTACACCTGCAAGTCAATCAGAGCTTAAAGCCATGAAGAAAATGTGCACAACATGGCCTAAATGCAGTCTGCCAATCCACACTTTACAGCCAGCCATAGAAGTAGAATACTGTTGTAGAGAAGAAGCCCAAGTATTGTGGTGGACCGAGATTGACTGCCGGAAGATGATAAATCCAGCACATTTGTCACTGTAGGCTTCTCCTCCTTCATTCCTCGCGAAAAGGTGGGCAATTACTTCTTCTCTGAGGTGGGCATCCGCATAAAATAATCACATTACATGAATGTCGCTTTTTCTATCTGTGTTATAGCGTCTGTTCCTATTATCTGATCAAGTATGGTACAATCGATGCTAGTTAAGATCTTAAATTTAGTAAATATGTCTTTCATTCCTTCACACATGAGTGATGTGTACGCCTTCACAAATTCATTCCCTTCTTGAAATTCCAGAGGGAAAAACGTAGGATTTGACACTTAGGAGTGGTGCATCGCTTGAATGCACGCTCTTTGATATCAGATAATCATATTTCATTGATTGCAGCTATGATGGAATCTACCACTCAACTCATGAGCCTTGTGATCGACTCCAAATTCAACTGGCATGATTCATATGCTGTGAAACTCGAGTCGGAATGATTTCATGATATGTGACTGTACGTGGAGCTCCACATTCTTTTCAGCAAGATTGAAGACGAAAGACAGACATGTCAACACGCAAAAAGACAGGGTTCGAATCAGAGCCATGCATGCACCGCACCGGAATGAAGCTCCATTTGTAGCTCCGATGGTTTCTCTCTTAACTGGTGGTCAACACAATCAAACCTTGCCTTCTACCTTTCTTTCTCTTTCCTTACATCGGTTGATCGATGTACTTGTTGCCTCTGGAAATGCACGCTCCTGGATCCTAGAAGTTTCACACTGCAAGGCATAGAGGACCTGCCGGAGGTTGTACCTCACTTTGGGAGACCTTGTTGAAGGTTGAAGGGCTTGCTCGTCTCTCTTTACGTTCGGCTTTCCCATCTTTCTGTGATTTCTTTCCGTTTAACAAAACACAAAGTTTTTCGTTTAATATTTCCGTTTTGTTTCTCCTCGAGTTAAAGACAGTTTTTTCCAAAGACCCTTTCTTTTCCTTTATTGAATGAGGGAGTGAAGAATGATTGACTGCTTTCACAAAGAGCCTGGCCACGAATTCCAATTGTCACATCGGATGAGGTGGGGATATTCGGCGTTTTGAAAAAAAAAATTAAAGATAATGTTCGCAGGCACTCCACCCATAGTGCTCTTTGTGACTCTCACCTCGCCAGGTCTCTCATCGTCGAACTCTGGCCTAGCCGAGTCAGGTCGCTTCATCGAGCAATCATAGCTCGCGCCTCAGAGACCACATACATATAAAAACGCAATAAAGAGAAATCCACCCGCTGGCAGAAAGGCTCGAAAAGGCGAAGGGGTGAGCAGCGTGTATACTAACATCAGCGAAACCATTTTTAACACAAGAACAAAGCGACCCAGAGACGAAAAGAAATCGGTCCACCACCGAAAGAAAGAAAAACGAGCTGTGAAGTGAAGTTGGATGCCACTGTTGGTGTGCGGACGGGTGGATCTAGCGCACAACTTTCGCTCACCTGCAAGGACGACACAAGTCTGGATGATGATGCCGACGCGGCCCGAACGAACGAGCTGCATCCTCTGGCCATGATCCCTGTCCATCACGAAAAGCACTCCGAAAGCGAGCGAGCGAGCGAGCGAGCAATTCGGCACGTTTTCCATCAATTCCTCTTCGATCAAGACTTCCTCCGATCCTCGTCCATGCCTCCCCTTCGAGCTCGCATGACTTCGTCCGCCCGCGGCATGCCCAGCGGCGCGTCATTTCAAAACTCGGCCCTCGATCGCCCGACAGGTGGCTCGCTCAAGGGGCCGCGCATGTCGCGACCGGTTCAGGCGTCTACACAGTCCGCCCGCGCCTACCGTTAGGCTTGGCCATGGTCCGGTTAACGGGTCCGGAAATTTTGTGGACCGGTTAACCGGTCCAGGATTGGTCCGTATCGGTTACGGTTAACCGATATTTTTAACCGGTCCCGACGGTTAACCGGTTAACCATCGGTCCGGACCCCTACCTGGCCGATGGGGAGGGCCTTAATACCCAAAAATTCTCGATGGCGGAGTGAATGAGGTGTGCCGCGACTCAAATGAGCCCACGGTTGGACGTTCAGAGACCGGAGTTGAGTTGTACCAATTTGTGAAAAAAAATTCTCGCGAATTTTCTCACATTGAATCACGAATTGGGTACCTCGCTTGCCTGATTCTGCTGCCGGAGGAAATTTTTTTACCGGACTGTGGCCAAGCCTACCTACCGTTACGGTTTCCAAACCCATTTCTTATCTTTTCTTATCTTATCTGATTTCTACGACAATTATAATTGACAAGGTCTACGTTACTTATGTCGTTGAACATGTACACGGAAAACGGACCTCCAAAGAATGTGCGAACTAACCCAACCGTAGTTGGAGATTAGTATGTCAAGAATCAAGATGCGTTACGACACGGATCATGATTTTCATGATATACTAATATCGACAACATGTATTATTCGCAAGGGTATCATATGTATGCGTAAGGGTGATCACAGTTCTCAGATAGAGATCCTCTTGTAGAAGTCCTGCATTAAAAAAGTTGATTTTTCAGTTGTCTACGAAACTTTAAAAGAAAAAGTATGAAACAAATCAGAAAAAAAATTCAGAAGTAATCAAACCTACGATTGGTGATCTAGCAAGGATATACTAAAGAGTATGAACGTAGGTGGATTAGTTTGAACTTTTCTAAGTTCAGCCACCAAGAAAAATTTCCACAATACAAATCCCCAGATTCATTCATAGTGACAATCAGAACACAGCCCTGAGAAAATTATGACGTAGTATGATGAGGGAACCCTATTTTAATACTTTGTTTAAATAATGCTCTAACTGGAATACGTATACTTTACTTTATCTTCTAATTTTAAACAAATAACACGAGACAAGCACATGTCTATTTTTTAGTGAATAAAATCAATGAATCAATGCATTAAGTCAAATAAGAAAATTGGTATCGGAGAACAAGGTTAGATCTGGCTCAAAAGTATTCGAAGAGAAAAGTCCTCGAATATGTTTCATGTCTACATGGACAAAATCTACGATCAAGTGTTTGCGGAATCCATATCTTATGACAACTGGTCCCGCACGGGTGAACTAGATTTCGAGGATAGAACTTGCATCCAGTCGGCTTAAAAATAGCCATGCTGGCCCAGGAAGCCGTGGAATTTTCTCGGGACGTAACGGCCGACCGAATTGCCCATCCCCTACCCGGGAACCCTTGAGTACCGTTCACGTATACCGTATCCGAGTCAAGAGGTAGATTCAGCCAGCGCCTCTGGAGACTGTAAGAAGAGTTCGACCCCCCCAACCCACGCCCCGCCCTCCTGGTTTGTGATGTGGATCATGATTACTCGTGACCTCAGTTAAGCGCTCGTGAGGCTCATGAACACTCGACGGAGTCCTCATCTTTGCTTGTCGAGGAAGCTGAACACCATCGCAAAGATGCGGCGATGGGATTGGCTCGTGGATCTGAGGTTCAAACCCCTTCTGGAGCCGCTTAACTCCACGCATGCCCGCGTTCTTCTAGCTCGGGTCATACGAGCATGTTCATGATGATGCTATGCTGCTGCTGACCCGACCCGACCCGACCTGACCTGACCTCACTTGACTTGACTTGAGTTAGTCAACTCAACAGTTAGCACCCGAGAGTTGTAAAACTAACCTCCGGTCCTCTGACCCAGTTCGCTCAACTGACGCGAGGTTTATCCGGGGAGTATTCTCTTCGAACTGTTCGGCGACGCAATATTCCAGATTACAACTTCGCACGAGAGATGGGCCGGCGATGGTGAGACTCAAGGGGCAGGGAGGGAGGGAGGGAGGGAGGGTCTTCCCGGCCGTGCGTGGGATGACCTCGGCATAGAACGAGGGCGGATGAGTCTTGACACTTTGGTAAGCAGAACGGCGCAACAGGAGCCGGGCAAAAAGATATTTGTCACAAGTGCATGGGGGAGATCCTTTCGTCGTCGTAGGGTATTATTATTGCTCGTCGAATGGAAATCCTCGTTTTCTCAGCACTCCGTCCTCCATGATGGGGAACATCGGAACATCGGAACATCTGCAAGAAACGCGGAGCCGGAGTGTTGACATGTACAGCAGCCAGCAGCGTAGAGTCTCCGGGTGACCCCAGAAGCAGGAACATACGTGCCCTTGCGAGAGCAGGACGAACGCCATGACACCACGTGTGTCGCCACTGGTGAGACACAACACCGATCTCATCTCATCCCTCACCATCCCTCCCTCGCTCGTGTGCTTCCCTGTCACTAGCAAGGAAATTCTCGTTACCATCTTGCGGGAAAAGCAACGGACCCAAGAAGCAAAGAAGGGAGGGAAAGATAGATCATTGTCCTTGCCCCGTGAGCAGCATGGTCGTTTTGTTGGTGTCCTACAATATTCCTATCGGTATCGGATTCCTACCCTGCCGAGATCTACTCTCTGTATTTCAGCACCCAGGCCTCGAATGCATGATGTACACGTGGACGCCCTGGAAATGAGGAAATTGGTGTTTGTGTATCCCTCCCTCGGTTTCTTTTGGGGTTGGGAGGAGACGAGAGAAACTTCGATGGGAATCCCACCCCACCTGCGACGCATACCCCCATGAACATCCATAATCATACTCGAGAGTACAGAGTCTTAGGTCGGAAGAAGTCCGAAGAGGTAAACGACGAGCCAAGTCTTATTCGTTGCTTTTAATATGTATGTCCATGGCCGCTGTAGTAGGCGTTTGATTTTCAACATGTTTCTCGTTGGGCACCTTAGGGAGCCAGGGGAGCCAGGGGAGGGAAACTTCTGCCTCAGTTTCATCTCAGAGTTCATCATATCTTCGTCTACTCAAACTTTCCATATGAAGCTTCAAGCCATATGTACCGGAGAAACGACACACACCTTCTCGCAACAGCACACAACTCAAAGATTTGCCCACATGTGTGCATGTTTGTAGTGGCGCACTGGTGGACCCGGAAGAAATCAAATAACATGGGGTGATTTGATCGTATTTCCCATCAAGTATTAATCACGTCTAGAATAGTAGTATCCTTCTGATCAGAAGCAACCAACCCGAGCGGCTGGTTTGTTCACCACAGGCTTACTGCCCTTACTGGATCATAATGTCCAACAGATCCATCCATGAACATGATGTTGATGATGTAAGCCGCAAGCGAACAACTGTGGATGCTACCATCCATAGCCTTCGATTCACTACTACACTGACTTAATTGACTTGGCTCCGTTCGGTACCTGGTGGCCTCCTCAATTCTAGCCCTTCCACGACCTTCGAAGACGGAGTTTTGGTCAAATGCCTTGGTCTCCCTCTATCTCTCTCCATGTGCTTCACGCTGGACACAAGGTCTTGTTCAGTCAGTAAGCCCAGCTTAGTCAAGTTGATTGTTCATCTGCCTTGTGCCAATGTAGCCCCGCAGTTCCCTCCTTCAACTCTCTTTTTTAGAAGCATTCTTTCTTCTCCATGTGATTCACGATGGGAACAAGCGTATGTTCTGGTTTGGCTTCATTCTCCTCTCTTTTGGTCAAAAGCGTTTAAGAAGGATTATATTCTGTCTAACATTAATACTTTTTAAGTCAATTATGCCTTTCCATGTCTGACATCTTCTTCCTACGAGTCTTATCCAAACCAAACAACACGGCCTCAAAACCTCTTCTTTTGTCGGAACGGAGCAGAAAACTCTGAAGACTACAAGTGTGACCACAAGAATTAAATTAGGAATCTGAGAAATAAGTCCATGGTGCTTCTTCCACTCTATTTTAAAACCAGAGGGCCAGCCTCAACCCCAAAGTTCTCCTCGATTCATCTGCGAGCAAAGTAGAGAGAGAGAGAGAGAGAGAGAGAGAGAGAGGAGTAGTTAGATGTAACTTGCCACTACCAAGCACTTGATAATTTTGATGACAAGCTTTTGATTCCCGAAGTTCCTCTCGTTATCTGTCGAGCTTTTGTCCAAGTGTGTCCAGCTCCAGTCCCTAGTTTCTCAACACGCATCTACAGTGGGATGCCAAAATTTGGTTTCGCTGGAAACTAGTCGAGCTACATATATGTTCACAAACAATACATATTATAAGCATTCAATAATCATTCGCTTAGCTGCACAACGAATAGGTCGAAATATTGAACGAGCTGCACTCCAGCCTCCCTCCACTGCAAACAAAAACTATATGTTACTCCAGCCATGACTTTTCGAGCAAATGGACTACACTGATGCCACTACACTTTACAGCGCTGGCGAAATGCTTGTGAACGAACATGCACTCTTCATGTCTCTAAGACAATCAAAAGCAAGTGCGAGGTCCAATTTCTCGCAGGTGCACAGTGCTCGAGCGCATAAAGCAGCAGCAGCAACCAGCGTCATACTCCTTACGTCAATGATATTGTCCTGTCTCCGCCCCGCTCCACAATTAAGGTCACACCTAGCGGCTTCTCCGCGTCATTCTCTCCCACAAGCTCTGATGGCAACTCGGTGGGTAAAATGTAAATGCAACATCATCCACCTCTCCATTCTCACAGACCAGACCGGATAGAACAGGATATATCCGAGCCAGGACCACTCTCGGTTACGATTTGTTCGCTTGCTCTCTCTCTCTCTCTCTCTCCTCCCTCGACCTTCTCGACCTTCCTCAGAGGAAGACCGGAGGTGGATTGTGTGCTTACTTGGCTGGGCTTGACTTGCCTTGACTTCCTCCATATCTTTCGGTTCGGCCAATGGGCATCTCTCTCACATGGACAACGAACGTCCGATCCACCCCCCTCTGCCCAGCAGTTCTGGGGAGGAGCAGCAGCAGCAGCAGCGAAGGACACTTGGACTACTACACTCGAGGGGTACGAGGAACCTGTTCAGACCCGGAAAGTAGGGACAGGAGGGAGACGCTGGAGACGACCTCCTGGCTGGCTGGCTGGCGCGAGCGAGCGAGCAGGCAGGCACAAGCCGCGGGAGGAGGAGGCGAGGCTTGGCTGGCCGGCTGCTCTTATCTTTAGCGGGGAGAGGACACGAGAGGGAGAGGGAAAGGGAAAGGACAAGGACGAGGGAGAGTCCGGGAGCACGAGGGGGTTTGCTTTCCTTGCTTTGAGCATGGGCGCAACACCTTCGGTCGCCTTTTTGGAGTGTTTCGGCGTGTGGTTTGAGCTCGGCGATCCGATGTGGCACCCGCACTGAGCTGTTGCGCAAGGGCCTGTGGATTTGCGGAAGCTCACCCGTGGGACAGCATGGGGGGCACTTGCATCTCCATGAATGATGGGTTGCTGCCTTGACACAACGCCTTCCAATAAAAGCAAGGTTGGTCGGAAGCAGCAAAGAAAGCAAACGTGCGGAATTGAGTCGATGATGGGCCGCCCGAGCGAGCGAGCGAGCATGCATAGCATGGATGGCGATGATGATGATGATGATTGTGATGGTGGTGGTGATGATGAGCACAGATGCATGTGGGAGGAGGAGGAGGGAGGGATCCCTGAGGGTAGGGGGGGGGGGTCATGACACCCAAAAGAGAAACGCGTAAAACTTGCAACACGGTTGTGTTTCTGGGAGGGACGGCGGGCCAGCCATTCAGAAGATCCATCGCGGATAGAAATGGTAAACAAAGGCCCCCAAAGCACACACAACACTCGACGACCACGCCTGGTAAATGGAACATGCCTTGGCTCTAGTCCACTTTGCCAGGCACTGGATCACCGGCTAGAATAAATGTCATATTCGTCAGCTGTAGGCGTGACGAACTTTTGGTCAAGTGATGATGATTGGTAAGGGAGAAAATCTCCATGGGATATGGACATGCGGAGTGCTTTCGACAAGTCAGAGCTTCTTTGGACAGATAGACACTCCTCAGGTCTCAGTCCCAATCGCACACTCTCATAACAAAAACGTGCCCTTGTCCTTATTCCCTCTTTCGCTTGAAGTGAAAAGCTGGTTCGGCTCCCGGTCCACCCCTATGAGCCATGAACCGTTGTACCAGTACCAGATACAACAGTCCCAGACGCCACCTGCCCTGGACTACCGTCTTCTCTTTTCCAGGATTCTACAACGAGTTCAAAGCCTGCGTTGTAGCCTCCCTGTGCGTGTTTATTGTGCAACAAAAGTGTCGTAGGTCAGGCATCTTCAACTTGTCGTGCAACATGATCTGGACCATCCTGAGCTTTAGTTGGTTCGGTGATAACCTGCACAAAGCTACACGATCTGGCGAAATGATGTTTGTGGACCTGGAGCAGCATTGAACCTCGCTCCACCATGTTCCACTGTGACAGACGTCGGTTCGGTCCACACAAATATATTAACGAGAGCCCACAAGGGCAAGTGTGCCTTGATCTAGGTCAACACGATATTCAATGAGGGTGTCGCGCCACACCGCGAGAAATACTTAAAAGATTCTTCACTCGCATAAAAAACCACGCGAGGATGATATAACTATCACAAGGCCTCTAACAAGAAAATCCTTGCACACTATAACAAGACAACCTCGAGTTGAAGATGATACATTCGACGACAAAGTTTTGATTCACACAAAATTTCGCATTTCTTTCCGTAACACATGTTTGAACAAAAAGGCTGAACGCTGTCGGTATAGCATCTTGACCGACGGCAAGCCATCTAAACCAGCATTCACATTGAGAATGCTGTGGAAAACTCTCTGGACTTGTGACAGAATTGATAGATCAAAATGTAATGATACACAGTAATTCCCATTCCTCATTATGAGTCTTACATGAATCATTGGACAATGCCGCTTACCTTAACTAGATTTACAAGCCCCCGAACATCTGTAACGGATCTACCTGTATCTGTTGTATACACCGAACATGGAAGTGGCGAGACTAAACTCTCGGCCTCCGAGAATGATACAAAGTGGGGTGGACAAAGCTATAATACCGCCCTTACCCCGAATAAGTGGATACAACCCCAGATTTATGTCCGTGCAGACAGGTGCAACACACCTTCGGTAACCAGGAAAACGACATCTGGGCTTTCTAGCAACAGTGACCCGGGCAGTTCAATGAACCTCATATAATCTAGAAGCTCATAAGTTCTCATCAGAACATTGCCTGCCCTCCCTCCATTCTCCATCACTGCAAGTGCTTCGGACGGTCTCCTCATGACGACACTCAAATCTTTCCTTTTGACCTTCGTCTTGAGAAAGTTGGTGCTTGTCGATCACCTCGTCATTCCAAGAAGCTTTCATGCTACAGATCGTTGGAGAGTGTACTCGAGCCTATGTTTTGTGTCAAAATTTCATGAAGCCATTTCAGCAGATTGGAAGCAACCTTCGGATGGAGGATGCTTGTTGAGACTGCTCAAGACTTACAGAACTTCAGAGCCAAATGCAGGAAATATGTATTTCTCGCTGCTGTCTTCATGCATCGTTTTGTGGAAAAGTTCTTCATTAAGATCTTCGAGCAGAATCCTCGAGACACTGTTCAAATGTACCTGTACTGGAAGTCAGCGTACGAACGATGTAAACATTCACTAGTTGGAACAACTACAATCATGCATCGAAAATGTGACGCATTTGTACATTCCGATAAACTCTCTAGAAGCGGCCATGCATCACGATACACCAATGACTTATGCAGTATCTTCTAGTCGCTGAGCAACCCCGCAAAGACCATCAGTGTCAATGTAAAGTTCTCATCATACATCACTCCAAACCACTAGAGACTATTGTTGACTGCCCTCTCAAGTCGCAAGTCTAGACTTGTAAAAACATCTTCATATGAAAGCTTGGATGGATTAAACTCTGCAATCAATTTGTATAACAACTGCGTAAGAGGGCAAGGAGATGGGGGATTCACCAATTCATGGACCCCGTGACAGGAATGCCTGACGCCACCCTCTATAAAAATAACTCTGCTGGTCTAACACACCCTACAGCTAAATTGGCCTAACTCTTGCATGTCCTTTCTAACCGGCAGAGGGCAGGACAGCGCGAGAGTGTACTATACCTAAGGGCCAATGAAAGCCCCCAAAAAATAATGTACAGGTGTGCAATAATTTCAGCACAGAATCCTACTCATAAGCAGCCATAGCATCTAAGACAACAAAAGCATGGACTGCCATTTACCTCAGAACAGAAAACTAAATCTAATGCCGTTGTGAGGGTGAACCAGTTTCTTCGTCCATCGCCTCCGCCTTTTCCTCTTTAGAGTGTTGCGGGTGCTGTTGGCTTCCCCAATCTGACTGTTCATCTTTGCTCCGTCTTCGTGAGGCACTTCCTGCTGGTTGCTCCTCCGTGGGGTTCGCCTGACTTGTTTTTTGAGGTGTCCCAGGCATTTGAGATGGAGAAGATGTTTCACTTCCGCTGGACTGAGATGGACCAGGTCGCTGGGCAGGAGATGGCGAGCGTTTCTTGTTTGGGGTTGTGCTTGCAGGTGATGGTGATCTCGTTCGAACTTTGCTGGTGCAAGGGCTGGGCGACTTTTCCCTTGGAGGTGATGTGCTTTCAGGTTTTTTAGCAACAGGTGCAGAAGTCGGTGCTACGTACGGAGCCTTTCCACGAACCCTGAAATTGACAACATAATTTAATATTAGAATCGTTATGACAGCATTATCGATCATCCTCGTAAAAGTATTTTATCAAAAGCGTGTAAGCTTGAACTAGGTGAACTGTACCTGTCTTTCCTCTTCTCCAGAAAGCGAGCCAGCGATGCCTTCCTTGCTTGAGGTAGTTCAGCTGAAACTATCAACATGATGTTAGCAATAATTCCATGCAATAAGTCCATGCAACAGATGTACTTGGTCCAACATCACCACTCCTCCGGCCTCAAATCATGTCACTAACTGAAATTAGAGCATACCTTGATGAAGGATTGCGGCACCTCTTGTGGCTCCTACTGCTTGCTTGTTCAGACCACCTGCAACCAGCATTGCGGGAACCAGCGGTGAACCTGATCCTGAACTAGTCGGGATTGATGGAGTTGGGGTTGAAGCAGGAGGTGCTGAAGCACTAGATGAGGATGCAACTCCTCCAGTTGAAGCCGGTCGCGTTGCAACTGGAGCAGGAGGGTTCATAAAATTTGATGACCACGAATTCCCACTGCCAGCTAGCAGCATGATGGCTTGAGCCTGAATACGAAACAAATCAACGCAAAGTATCACAATCAATCCTTCTGATGTGAAAATGAGATGTCTCCATTATCCAATACTATAACATCCACAGGAATCATACCAAACGATACAAACATCAGAGTGGTATTTGTTGAACTACTGATAATATCTAAAAATTTGCGAAATGTATGGAGAAAATTGCTCGTAACATACAGGTTCAATAGATCAACATACCTTGTCTGCCGGCACGTCATCATACACATTTACAGTTCCAGAATAAAATATTGTAAGTTGCGCAGTAGGAGGCCTCCCAGGCAAGTGCGTTGGGGTGGTATTCCTGGACAGTTGACAGACACAAAGATTTGAGAAAATGATTCGACGAAGAGTTCCTACTAACAATCTTAGATAGTTGATACAATAGTTTATTCCGATCGTTTAGTAGCAATCAGAGTGCGACACCGACCCTAATGTAACTTTAAAGCTCCCAATCAAAGCCGTGGAATGAATCAACACCTGAAATTATACCTTGGAACTGACCCAATTTGCGGACTACCTCCTTGGAATGTAGGTTGAGGAGGTTGGCCCTGAAGGGCACGTTGACCGTGCATTGCCAAAGAGTTGTCTGGAGATTTCAGCATCCTGAGTAAGGTAGGCAATGGCGAGCCGAAGCCACTGGATTGAGAGGTCGGCGGCTGCTCCCTGGTGGATGGAATCGATAGAGTGAGGCTCGAATCTATATGAGGCCCTCGTTCAGTTGGTCGAGCTCCCCCATGCGCTTCGTCACTCCCAGCAGCTTGTGTTGTGGCCACATTGTACCGAGGAGGTTGGAAACCATTAACGCGAATTCCCTGCAAACCAACATGAAATGACACAGACATCAATATTAGGGCATTTGCCTGATACTATCAGCGAATCTAGAAAGCAATTAAACTATAACCGTATGATCTTACTACAGATATAACAAAAGTTCCGCAGAAACACATAGCGCCCAACCTTTCAGAGGTAATCGAGTTCGGAAATTGGGAGAAATACACTTGGCGCGACAGACGATGCTTTGAGATCAGCGGATCATGATGGGGCCACGTAGCGCGAAACTGCGAATAAAGGGGGTACTTACTGAAGCGTGAGATTGGCCAGATGTATCGTGCTGCCACCCAGGACCGGAAGAGACAGTAAGAGTGGGTGCGTCTGACAACCCATTCTTCTGTGGCGAACCGGCACTCCTGCTCGCAGGTTTCTCCTCTTCCTGTCTTGAAACTAAGTGCCTTTCAGTCACTACCCCTGGAGCCAAGGGCTTATTCCAAGTATTGCGATGCATTCCTGGAATGATACAATTAGACCACGTTAAGAACGTAACCAAAGAGCCATTGATCGATCATTCTCGTCTTTAGATATGACATCAGGATGTCAATTCCAGACTGGGGACCAAAAACCATTGACTATGGAAGATGGAGCGACTTCGTACCGATGGCTAACTTGCAGCACAAAATAGTCAATACCAAGTGCTCTCAAATACCCCGTGACTGTTCTCAGGAAATAGAACCGAAGGCTGCATCGACGTGCACCAAGGCTGAGTACAAGATACGAGCGACGAATTCCGATGTCATACGTCTCGTGAGAGAAATTACAGAGTACCTCGTAAAGTGTATTTGACTCCCAAGTCTTCAGAATTACAACCTGCTTTATAGGCAGTCTCCAAGAGCCTTGAATAGAGAGCTCTTCAAGTTCCATAAAGTTCCTAAGCGGCCACCAGGATAAGGGCTGATAGCCCTGGAATCACGATTTCTACCTGACTAGTCACTCAGCAATACGAGCCTCTAAATTTAAGACCGTATTCCGATGAAGCGCAGTAAGTGCAATACTCTGATACTAGTTGTCCTCACTACTGTTGTAGAGGGACCAACGGTATACTGCCCACATCAGTTCTATGCTTCCCACAGAAAACTTCATGGGCTCGAAGAATGGGCCTAACGAATGATCCCAAAGGAGCGAAATTGCGTACTGTCGTTTCCAGCAAGTTGCTGCTCAGTAAGGCAAGCTTACTTTTTACATAGCTATGACCCCTGTACGATGAGAACTAGATTTGCATCTCGCAAGAATAACTGGCTCTAAATCTACAATGGGCAACGGAAGTGAGAACACCAACATGGTTTGAGGATCTCCTCTCCAGCCTAGCCTCTCCTGATTCTTGCCCAACGGGTTATTCGTAAAGAAAAAGTACCTTTTCCTTTCAGATAGTCTCTGCAGTCCTCCTGCGACAAATGCATTACATCTGTGTCTGTAAGGACCTCCAGTGGCTGGTAAGGCTTCTCCAAGCGTGTCCTGCTAGTCTTCCGGACTCCTCCCATATCTTCCTCTTTTATACCCATGGGAGGCCATCCTTCCTTGAACAGAACTAGAGGGTTCTTCGAGGGGGAATTGTCGGTCCTGAGCATGAGACGTGACATGGAGCTTTCGCGCCCTCCCTCACCGACGGAGTTCGTCCCAGAACTTTGACTCGACGATGTGGGCAGAGAAGCTATGGGTTTCACTAACTTCCCTCGTTCTCTTTCCACACTAAAGTCAGTTGTATCTCTCTCGCAAAGGCTTTTGCCCAAACCCAGAAAGTCCAACGCTCCAACAGCTTCTCTCGCCATTGAGAGAGGGCCTGTTTAGCTTAGAGCCCGGATGGCGAGCAGTTTAATTTTATAACAGTTATGTTCCTTAAGATAAGTAGAACGATTGGGAAGAAAAGGGCGGGCTATCTACCTCAGCGAAGAGGGAGAGATTGTGGATGAAATAGGAGAAGGCATGAAGGGCAGACTACATAAACTCTGGGAGTACCAACGGGGCACCAAGCGGGAGAAAGCATGAAATCAAGAGAACGACTGACAAACACACAGACTACGAACAAGAGAATGAGAAGAGAGGCGAAGAATTAACTCACTAGATAGACGAGGGGTTGGTAGATCTGAATGGAACTGTGCTCTCCTGTTGGACGTAGAGTTCCCTCTTTCCTGGCCTTTAGCCCCTCGTCCGTCCAGGATCTCTCGATTGCAAGTAAGGAACAGTGGATAGAAGGGAGCAGCCTGTCTTCACGATCGGGGATTACAGCGAGCACGCTCACAGGGACGCCTCGGGAGGACAGTAAGCGGAGGCCGAGTGTGCACAATGAGATAAGTTGGGCAGAACATGAATTTCAAGTTGATAGGCGCCTGGCACGTGGTATGTTCCTGGCATGAAGTGGATTACTGCTCACGAAGCGGCCGGCAAAACTTTCAAAAACGCAGAGAATTGGTTCGTTCTTTGTGGCTCGGAGGTGATCAAATATGGCACCGATGGCCCACGGGTGGCTGCACCTGGAGAATGCTTAAACCGAGAGTTCCTCTTCTTTTCACAGTTCTCCTCGCTGAGACAAATGAGTATCCTCCCTGATAAAAGATATCCGCCTTTTTCCAAAATCTCTCCGCTGCAAATCTACTCGTCTCCTCTTCTCTCCTTCTCCTGCGTAAGATGCTTGCTTGCTGATGCAACGGAACTTCCGGACCCTGCAGGCAATGCGCGAGCGTGCGTAGGTTCGGCCCACAGCGACAAACAACCTCCACCCGCGGCTCACCTCGTAACTATGTGGCCGCACGTCCAAACGGGCAGGATGGGGCCCGGAACACAAATGTGAACAGAAATGATCACCGACCACCACCAAAATGAACAGAGCAAGAACCGGAATGATATGGTATGGTATGTAAATTGGGACGAAAGGGAGGAGTTGGAGCTGCTGATGATGATGAACAGGGTTACCCTAAATGAGCAGTGCCTATGAAAAAGAGGGAAGGAAATCAGTCGGAAGAGTAACCGCCCGTAGATATCGGCAAGAGGTATTAGGCACACGAGGCAGCAGAAAACATCGTCGCGTGTTTTAGTCCCTTGGCTCGAACCAGAATACACTCTCACAAAAGTGGGAGCAAGATAAGGAGCGACAAGCTCCCCGTGCGCAACTCCCTCACACTTCCTACAGGCCCGTCAACAGCCCCGCGCACGTACCACTCCGCACCTCGTAGATTGATGTTTCTGATAATTGTATTCCTGCCTCACCACCAGCCTCCTGTCCCGTCCTCCTCCACTCCTTCTCTCTCTATCTCTCCCTCTCTCTCTCTCTCTCTCCCCACTTCTCTCGTTCTGCTCGTGTGTTCGACCGCGCCGATGCTACTACAACCACCCTCCCTGATCCTATACGAGAAAATTGGAAAACAACCCAAGTGTCGATAGTTTAAAGCAGCAGCCCGACAAGAGGACAGGCGGACGGGAAAGCGGGCAAGGCTTTCGTGAGAACAGGGAGGAAGGATGAAGGATGAAGGTGATGATGATGGGCAGCAGCAGGAGGAGCAGGAGTTGCTGGATGGGGAGGGTCAGTAAAGAAAGGAATTGAACAGTGTTGTCTAGCGGGAAGGCGGCAGTGCAGGCGCGGCGTCTTCTCCTTCTTCTTCCTCGTTGGCGAGATCCAACAAGAACAACAACTGCAACATGAGGCGCCGAGAGTTGAGAGTGCGGGAGGCTGCGAGGCAAGAGAGAAGAAGACGAGGCGAGGGCCTTGGGCGATGCACGGGGCGACGAGGGGAGGCGAGGGGAGGGGAGGGGAGCGTCAGGACGGGACGGGACAGGCTGATGGGGAGCAAGGCCCGCGCAACGGGTGTCGACGACGGGGACGAGGAAGGCGAGAGTGGGGACCCTGGCTGTGGCCGGAAAAGAAAAGCGCACGTGATAGGCATGGCAGAGCAAGGACGCTGCTGCGTGGCACTACGTGCGGCAACCGCAACTCGCTGCCGAATTACCGTTCCGGCCACCTTTCCGCCTTCTTTCACCGGCACGGAACATTCATTCGCATCATTCATGTCATCCCATACAATCAATGTCATCCTCTGCACTCGCATGTCATGCCCGCGATGACCGACGGCCCGATGGAATCGCATTGAATGAGTGCTTCGATGGGACTCGAGAGTATCCATGCCCCATCCATACCCCATCCATACCCCCACACCATCCTATCCCTTCACATGGACCGACATCCATCCCATGATGCTACGGATGTCGTCGTCGCGTTTGCATGGCATGGTTTGAAAGGATTGGGTCTTACTCACCTCAGTGTCCAAGCTCTTTCCATCTTTAAACATGGATATTACGCACGAGGCCCTATTTTCAAGCCCATGAAATAATCACTACAAGTTTTCACAAGTGTCATCATCATGCCAGTCCAATGGCATAATTCCTTCTCCCTTCACGAGGGCATCCCCGTCTTATCCTTTATTTCCTTCTCACTGTTCCGCATTTTTACTCTAAGTCTTGACTCGCTATCAAACCTGTCTTTCATTTCTGTAATGCTTAGCTGGTATCCTCAAATGTTTTCGCAATTCTTGTCACCACGTCTGCAATTTTCTCTCTCAATGTGTCCTCCATTAGCCGCTCTTGAGGATAAGGTGTACATCAATGAGCGCTTCTCCTAATTTCCCGTAATTTTATTTATAAATCAGATTCACCCTGATCTTTAAATTGTTTCTGAGGGTTGTTTTATCTCCATCTCCTCTACAACAGCACTGGCCACTACGGTTCCCTATGAAAGCCTGGGGCAACCATGTAGCTTTCCGTATACAGTACAAAGTTGTCATGATGTTACAGTCGTTCCTGTAACAATTTGCCCTCCGTGAAAAGGAGTTTTTCCTGGCACTACCCTGTTCAAAATACAGTTAATTGCAGCCCAGCGCAAAATTTAACGATGAATTTAGCTCTGTTCTTGTCACTTCCTTACAAATGTAAGGTTGTCAATATACAGGCCTTTTATAATCAGCGTAAGTGGTTCTGGTCATCCCTTTAATCTGAATTATTTTGCATTTTATCATAAGCAACCAGTATATTTATTTCTAAATTATATTTTTGATCCTCGGAATCCCCATTGTAAAATGACAAGGGCTTGACAAGCATAATGTACTACGAACAACTCATACAAACGTGTGAAGATACAAATCACCACCATAGAGAAATTCTGACCATCAATATTCGGGTAACCCTTGTGAGAAGTCCACCTCGAGAGGAAATGATACCCCATTACACGTTGGATTATTTTTTTTGTCTCCAACACACTTTTGAGAGTTCTATCCAACTTTGCGATAGCCTCTTTTGTCACGGTCATAAATGTGTCCGACCTTTCTAGTCGTTGAACGCACTAGAATTGAACGAAGGTTTGTCAATGCATCACCTAGTCTCACTGTATGCAAATTTGGTCATTTCATAGGGATATATTCCAATCCATGGGAGTATATGCATTTAAAAAGAAACGTGAGTGACTCCAGTAATTGCGAGTGATCAAATGAAGTTAAAAGATAAGTATACATAGCAACCATAAGGTATAACACAGAGAGGAAGGAAGTTGATGATAAATCCACAAAGATTACAGAAATTTATGGATGCTGTCCTATTTAGATGATGCAGTAAGCTAAAACAAAGTTTCCAAAATGAGAATACACTAAGAGAAAAAATCGTCTCCTTCATACATCAGAATTATATATACAACAAAAATAATATTTTAAAAAGTCCTAATATTCAATTACTTTATGGATTAAGTGTTCAACATGTGACAAACAAATTTAAAACATGTCAATGAAGGAATAAGTGGACGAAACATATAAAGGAAAAATACCATTGAAGAGATTTCTTAATATTTGTATACTATATTCATGCAAGCGTAATAAAAGAACAAAAGATGTATTTACTTAGAAAATAATCAATGTGTAATCTCATGAAATAATAATATTTCATACAATGGATAGATAAGTAGTGTGTATATATATATATAAATGAGACAACAAACTTTAAGAGGTTTAGATCTAATTTATGTAAAATTAGAAGTATGTAGGATGTAAAATATTACTAGTTTAGATCTAAGAAAAACCTGTGTTTTCCCCCAACAAATTATCACCAAAGTAAATGATAATAGAGATTTTGAACTAAAATCATACTTCCAGAAGAAATTTAAACTACAACAACTATATATATATATATATATATATATACATACATAAATATGAAATTAAAATGTGAAATTTAAAACATAAATAATTTATGATTTATATTATCAGTCAAAAAACTAATAAAAAATATTAGCTTTATATATATGAAAGTACATTTCCAATCATACTTCTCAAAATTTAAATAATAATTCGGAAAAAAAGTCCCACACAATATTTAACTTCTTAAATATGTATTCATTTCTAATACAAGTAGTCAATGACATATATATATATAGGAAACAAATCAAACGAAAACATTGCAACAATTTTGTTTCAATATTAATCTCTTAAATAAAATTTATAATTCTATATTAAAATACATCCATTCAAATTTATTTCAGACAATAAATTTTAGAAGAAATTTATATCATCGAATTCATTTATTTATTTGTTTGTGGAAATAATTATTTTAAATATACAAAAAATTATTTATCATAAATCCTTCAAATTACAACATTGTGGATCGGTTCAAGCCATATTGAATATGGTTTAAATTTTAATTTGATGATATATACTGATTAATAAAATCAATAATTTCATTATTTTATTTATCATTTATATCTTATAAGATTTTTATCTAAATATTTATTCATTCTGATGCAAATACTGTCAATTTATGACTCTGACTGTGGAATAATATAATGATATTTAGGTATGTATATAAGACCTGGTATTTTTTTCATATAAATAGAAAAAAATGTTATATGTGATATTTATTTAAATCTCAACAAACATAATTATAATTAAACATATACAATTACATGAAGTTTATTCTTTTTGATTTGAAAAGCATTAGGTATTTTTATCTCAATATTGTGACGATATATTGGATTATATTGATACAAAATGTATACATATTTCAACTTTAAATTTCACAGCATAAATTAAAATTAAAATTGAAACATAATACTTTTAAAGTGAAATACGTATTATATCACAAACTAAGTAATGTGAAGGCAAATTTTTATATAAATTAAAAGTTGAATCTCATATCATTTCCACTAATATGTTTATATAGAATAACGTTTAATTCTATTTTGTGTGTACAATATATGTAAAATAAATAAATAAATGAGTATATTTTCCCCTTTGTCAAAGACTTCGTTTAGATGTTAAAAGAGCATGATGTACGCAAAAACATGTATTTTGCATAACTATTTAATATTAAGCTATTTTCACGAAAAACAATGATTGATGTATGATTCAAATATGTAAATTCCTGCTTATATATATTTATAATTGATAATTTTGATGCTATAACAAATTTGACACTTTTGATTATAAATTTGAAAGTATTTGTTACATCCAAGAGTTTTTTTTATTCTTTATTGTCAACTTCTAATCAATTGTAAACAAAAATAGTCGAGAACAACAGTCATCGTTAATTTGTTTCACAAGATAGAATAATTTTAAATGTACATGTGTTGTTTACTACTATACTCGTAAACTTAATGTATAGAATCCAGCATTATACTAACTCTGATTGGAACATATTTCTTGATATCACAACAATATTAATGATAAAATGAACTCATGAAAATATGATAAATATTTTATACAAAAGATTAATGAGCCATAACTTCATTCAAAACTATGTATGATCAAATTTGAACAATGAATATTATAGTGTACAAATTATATTAAGATACATTGAAAGATATGAAAGATATAATTTAGTCAGATATATGTAAATGTTTAATGTATGACCTAAACTAAAAAGGTATGTCTAATATCCATGAATGAATTCAAAGACTAAATGCATCATTAGAATTAGAAAAATAAGAAATATGCATGTTGGTAGGTGGAGAGCTACTCAGCCAATCCAAGTTGAGTATAGTGACTTTGTCGTAAACGTTTTCTAGGCATAAGCAAAGTCTTTCCACGAACAAGACATTTGTTCATGTTTGATTTTGAGAGCTAACCTTTTAAAATGCTTGTGAAATACTCTTTTGTTTGAGAAAATAAATTTTACTGGTTTCATTTTCTTATTAAACATACAAAATGTATTGAAGTAAGATTTTATGCATGCAATTGAATAATTTTATCTCTTGGATTAAAAGAATACTTCATGTGTACATTATGCATATTATGATAACGTTAGACTAAGCATGTGACAAATATAACATTCTTCAATGTGATCACATTATTGTAACTTGATTTATTAATTTATTTTGTGAAATTAATAAATTTTTAACAAATAGTTTTATATTATGATGTATCATTTTCACCCGATAAATCATTCTTCTTCAAATGTTAATTTATGATATAAAAAAACACATGAGTTGATGTGATTATGATTTTTATCACATTTTTAGACACTTCCGAAGAACACTCTTGATTCAAAATAATTACAACAATCTTTTCAACTCATTCTTAATCAATATCTTTTGGTGCACATCAAAATTTGCCTATTTCAAATGAGTTTTAATTACATCGTTGTAATGATTGAACATGGTAGTAACCTGCATGAATGTATTTATTTTAATATT